GGTGGCAGGTAACGGGCCCGCAGCCACCAGGCCGCCAGGCCACTGCCCTCTGCCCCGCGGACGGCGCGGTGGGTGGGTGGCCGGTGGAGGGTTACCTAAGCGCCCGCACACCGAGGCCCAGAGGCCCAGCGGCGAGTGCACGTGCCAGGCCGGGCCGGCAGTGACTGTCCCGAAGACGCAGCCGGTGCGCCCGCGTCAGTAGCACGAGTCTCGGGGTCCGGGCGGGCCTTGCTCAGTGTGACAATGCAGCGCAGTGTTCTGCACATCAGCCGTGAACTGGGTCAGCTGAGTGTGTAGCCAACTGCAGAGAAGAAACCAACATGCAGTTGACCAGGCGGTCCATACAGGGGTTCCTCCCAGAAAGGCATATAGACACACTGGGAATAATTGGAAAGGCAGTGTTTCCTAAAATGCATGCCGTTTTTAAAATGGAGCCGTCGGCTGGTGAAGTGTGCATACATTTTTTGGGGGACACCCTGTAGAAGCCATGGCCAAGCCTCCCTTTAGGGAGCAGAGTTTGGGACATGAGTCCCCCTCTCCTTATTTGCTACAAGGAAATGAAACTACCTGGCAACAGCCACCTCTAGTTTCTGAATTGAGCTCCCCAAGTGGTGGACCCCTTGAGCTGGTAACGCCATTGGAGGACAACACCTATGGGTGCATACGGTCCCCACTGCTGGCCCCAGGGAGGGGCTGAAGGAACTTAAAAAAAATTTTTTTTAATTGATTTCAGAGAGGAAGGGAGAGAGAGAGAGAGAGAGAGAGAGAGAAGCATCAGTGATGAGAGAGAATCCTGGATCGGCTGCCTCCTGCACACCCCACACTGGGGATCGAGCCCACAACCCGGGCGTGTGCCCTGACTGGGAATCAAACCGTGACCTCCTAGTTCAGTGGTCGGCAAACTCATTAGTCAACAGAGCCAAATATCAACAGTACAACGATTGACATTTCTTTTGAGAGCCAAATTTTTTAAACTTAAACTATATAGGTAGGTATGTTGTTATTAACTTAATTAGGGAACTCCTAAGGCTTGGGAAGAGCCACACTCAAGGGGCCAAAGAGCCGAGGTTTGCCGACCACTGTCCTAGTTCAGAGATTGATGCTCAAGCACTGAGCCAGGCCGTGAAAGTTCAGGCTGTGCCCAGATGGTGCATCTGACTCAGATGGGGAAACAGGCAACGCTGCTCCCTAAAGGCTGGCCCTGCCGCCGCAGGCGGACTCTTGGGGGGCCTTGGCCTTGGGCTGAGTCATGAAGTCGGGTTACTAACCTGGATTTGAGAATGGAAAGCTGGTGACTAAGCCTGGCCTCACTCAGATGCATATTTTCAGCAGACTCTGTCCTCCCTACCGCTTTTTCCTGAGAGGAAGCAACGCGTCCTTGTTAACTGTGCCGCCTCCTGACACCCAGAAGCTGCCCCAACGGGGAGATCAGCTTCTTGTTTTGTTTTATATTTGTTTTGTTCATCCTCACCCGAGGATATTTTTCCATTGATATTTAGAGATAGTGGCAGGGAGGGGGAGAGAGAGAGAAACTTCCATGTGAGAGAGACACATCAGTTGGCTGTCTCCCACACGTATCCCCACCGAGCCAGGGACCAAACCTGAGACCCTTCAGTGCATGGGCTGACACTCTAACCCAGCCGTGGGCAAACTATGGCCCGCGGGCCGGATCCGGCCCCTTCGGCTGTTCTCTCCGGCCCACGGAGCCGAAAGAGCGGAGGGTTCTCTTGCTCTCCCCTCCACTCCTTCACCAGCAGCAGTGTTAACATGGCAACGTCGGGAAACACGGCCGCAGCTCCTTCTTCTGAGTCCAGTTTAAGAACCCATTGTAGCCCTTGAGTCAAAAAGTTTGCCCACCCCTGCTCTAACCACTGGGAGACACTGGCCAGGGCTGGAGATGACATGTTAGCATTTGCTGCAGGAGTAAAGGA